GCTTCAAGACTTTGGAGGCGCTGCAAGGCCCCAGTCACTCCCAGTTGTTGCCTTTTTCCCCCCGACCGAAAACAGCTGAATTTTTTTGACGAATCGGTCGTATTAGGGAACTTAGAAAACCGGCTTCAAGACCTTAAATGCACCTTCAAGCTTTGCCGCGACTAGTAGATAAATTGCTTCAAGACTTTTGCGCCCGAAAATTGAGCTGAGCCTTCACTGTCGCCAGTAGCTCATTTCAAGGCCTCACAGCACCAAATTGCGGTTTTGCCCATCAAAGATAAACGGCTTCAAGGCTTCGGGGCGCTGCAAGACTCAGCTGATCTTTTTCAGTGCTCAAAATGTGCCCCTAACTCAATTGAAGCAGGCCAGACTAAAACAACAAAAGTCTCCTTAACTAAACACCCGTTTTGACTAAACGGGATAAATTGCTTCAAGACTTTGGAGGCGCTGCAAGGCCCCAGTCACTCCCAGTTGTTGCCTTTTTCCCCCCGACCGAAAACAGCTGAATTTTTTTGACGAATCGGTCGTATTAGGGAACTTAGAAAACCGGCTTCAAGACCTCAAATGCACCTTCAAGCTTTCCCGCGACTAGTAGATAAATTGCTTCAAGACTTTCCCGCCCGAAAATTGAGCTGAGCCTTCACTGTCGCCAGTAGCTCATTTCAAGGCCTCACAGCACCAAATTGCGGTTTTGCCCATCAAAGATAAACGACTTCAACGCTTCGGGGCGCTGCAAGGCTCAACTGATCTTTTACAGTGCTGAAAATGTGCCCCTAACTCAATTGAAGCAGGCCAGACTAAAACAACAAAAGTATCCTTAACTAACCACCCGTTTTGACTAAACTAGATAAATGGCTTCAAGACTTTGGGTGCGCTTCAAGGCCCCAGTCATTCCCAGTTGTTGCCCTTTTTCCCTGACCTGAAACTGATGAATTCTTTTGACGATTTGGTCGGATTAAAGGACTTAGATAACCGGCTTCAAGACCTTAAATGCACCTTCAAGCCTTGCTGCGACTAGTAGATAAATTGCTTCAAGACTTTCCCGCTCGAAAATTGAGCTGAGCCTTCACTGTCATGCCAGTGGTTCATTTCAAGGCCTCACAGCACCAAATTGTGGAACCAAATTGCGGTTTTGCCCATCAAAGATAAACGGTTTCAAGGCTTCAGGGTGCTGCAAGGCTCAACTGATCTTTTACAGTGCTGAAAATGCGCCCCTAACTCAATTGAAGCAGGCCAGACTAAAGCAACAAAAGCTTCCTTAACTGAACACCCGTTTTGA